ATTTTCAAACCACACATAACCTAACACCTTGCCATCAAAGATATTTTTGGGAAAACTGATTTTCTCAATCTCCCAGAAAGGGATGACAAAGCTTATGAAAACCACCTTTCATCCACATATCTTAAAAGCAATTCACCCATTGGAAGAGCTGCCACCAGAAGACCTAAGGCCACAACTGTGGCTCACCAATTGTCCCTCCATCCAACAAAAAACCGCAAGGATATTTAAGCATTTAATTTTATCCTGAAATCCATAGGAAGCCAGGCTCCAAAGTGCTTGCAGTCCTGGTGTAAAGAATTGATGGTGGAAATTGGAGAAACTCCAGTTCCTCTCTGATTCTTAATGAGTTATAATGGATACACTAAAAATCAATGTATTCTACCCACAAACAGCAGTACCGAGATGAGGGCAGGCAAAAGCCCCAGGCGCACCAGGGACGCGATGGAGGGGCAGCAATTGCAGCTTCCTCATCAGCAAAAGTAACTGAGATGAACAAGAGGGTGAATGATTCATTGATCAGTAACAGATACACAGCTATTGCTTCAACTCAGACCATGTCAGGACACAATCAAAATGTTGCAACATAGCTACTGAAACAAGACTGAAAGACATTAAAGGTGCCTACAACAACTATTTTTAAAAGTGGAGATATATCTTATTTTCTAAACTATGGGTTAAAAGCTGCTGAGCCATATTCTCATAGAACATTAAGAGATGACACTATGAACTCCAGAACTACATATGTGTAACCTAAGCACAGAGTAAGAACATCCACTGAATGGTAACTTCAGAGTCAATCGTCACCTGACAATACTAAATACATTTAAATCGTGAGCATGATGAGGGTTAACACTGGGTTTAATCATAAAGCAAGACAATAGCATGAGGAAGCACATTTACCAACTTGATTACAGAAAACCTGGTAGCATTGGTTTATCAGCTTAACCAATCAGCAGGTAATTAACTGTGCGTTTAACAACTAGGTAGTAAAGTTTCTTCCCAGGGAAAATCAGATTGGAAAAGTCAACATCAGCTTAAACACGATTAACTTCCTGTTCCACTGCTGGCAAAGCAAATCCAATTTACTAAATAGTTTAAAGGGCGGTTTTTAATTATTTTGCACACTTCCAAAGAATCCAACACTACACACAAATATGGATAAGCGGATCTGCTGCAGTGAGCGGAGACCTCAGAACCACAAAACACCACTGAAATAAACACCCAGAGACTTCTTAATATGCTTAACAGCCCCAGCACTTTGCACTGCAGAAATTCCATATATTATTGGGGACATTATACAAGACAGAGGCCACAAACAGCTACAGTTTCCTGTTCTGGGCAACAAAATCATAACTTGGAGCATCTCCTTCAGACTTCTCCAGTACCTCATATTTCTAAAGCAATCTTGGAAAACCAATATACAACAAGGAAATCTTGTGAATGAGATTTACATCTTTTACCTGGTTTCCAGTGGCACACACACTTCCCTAGGAACATGCACAAACTACTCAATAATCTATACATATCTAAAATCTTTAGCACTGCAGGAATTGAGGGCTCGCAGACAGTGTGGGAGAAACACAGCAAGGCACAGACAAAAACAGAACAAGGATTCAAATGAGCAACTCAGTTTCGCTGCCTTCCTACACTTCTTACCCATCACAGTAATTAAAAAATTGAAAACTGAAGTTTTCCAAGTTTAATTCAGCAGCAAAGATAACCTTTCAGCTACAACACGGAATTTCAAAAATTAAACCTAAGCAAAGCAAACAAAAACTCTCAAAATTAATATTGAAGAGGAACAGTTTCAGCCAAACCGGGTTAGAATTGCTAAATTACTCTTGACCCGAAGCATCACATCCTCGGGTTACACGATTCTCCAAATTCTGGTTGTCTGGAAAACCTAATCTGCATAACAATAAGTACAAAAAATGGCTTCTCTTTAGTGTCCTCGATGTGCACACCCCTCCTCTCCAACAGCTCTCAGCCAGCCCGCTCAAAGGATTAGCATAAGAATAGAAACCACTGGGAAATGACATGCTCCGAATGCCCAGAGTTGTTGACCTGCCTCACTCCAAATAGCAAAATAACTGATTTTTTCAAGGAAAGCTGTTATGGACTTTAAAAGTTGATAAACACTGCAATCCGTTTCTCTTTTATTGCAATATCTGATATCCCAAGAGCAGCTACCAGAGCCGAACAGAAACGCAGAACTATCTCCACTGCTGGAAGCACAGACTCACAACGTGCTCAAGTTCAAATTCCTACACGAGTCTGGTGGGGAACAACAGCTCGGTCAGGATCCTTCTCAGCTTGGACCTACCTGGCCCATCATCAAATCCATACAAGCAGCAAGCTCATCAGCCTTGCAGGAATACGGTGCTGCTGCTGCACAGAGAAGGCTGAATCCAGATCCAGGAGCTGCAGGTGAGGAGCACACGTGGGAGAGGACCTGGCCCTGTGGACACCACACCTGGCAGAGGCCACCCGTGCTCACAGTCCCACAGGACCAATTTGGTTCTGCAGCCAAAATTTACAAATTTACCTACATCGTCTTCCCTTTTTGTCCTTACCCTGGCACCAGGAGAGACAATTGCTCTTGCCTTGGTCATAGCCGCTGGAATCAGAACTACTGGGAAGGTAAGAATATTTTGAGGAAATGCAAATGAAAATAATCCCCCAGTTCATGAAAAAGCCAACATGTTCCTCTTACTGGTGGAGAGCAGTTCACAAATGCCAAGGGAACCCATCTCAATTCTTCTCTCTTACAAAAACTATTCTAGCCATAATAAAGTATGAAAAACATAATTTATTTTTGGAAATATTGACATTGGGATCCTGCAAAACACACTGACCTTTTGTACAAATATATTACAGTATTTGACGTGTTTGTTTTGAAATGGGGGAACTTGACTGGAATCATCCCCATAATGTGGTCTGACACTTCATTCAAAACAATGCACTCAGACAGCAAAATGACATTTCCTTTTCAGAAGTTCACAAAAGAACCAGAAGCCCAGGGGGAAAATGGCCAAAGTAGCACTATTCCCCTTTTTTGCTGGATTTCCTCTACTCCCTCTGGGATCTTCTCTCCAGCCAGTAAGTCACCACTGCAGTCATCCCCCTTAAATTGAACACGATGATCATCATTACCCTCGTTTTGCACTACAGAAAACAGATTGTTAAGGGCTGTGATCCTGATATTTCACAACCCAGCAGCAGCAAGTGATACAAAACCACTGCAACATCCAGCTACAAACTGGACACAAAACCCAAAAACAAAAGCAGCTCTCTGATATTTCTGCTATCTTGCCTCAGATGAATTTGTCGTGTTTCTGAAGAAACAAAGAGCACTTCAAAAAAACAAACCCCAGATTAAGACCACAAGCTGAAAGACTGGCTAATAATTTGCTTCTGGCAATGAACTAATATTTCTTCTGTACATCATACATGGCATTAATACCACAGTAACACTTTCAGTTCTGTTTCCCTAAGTAACAGGTTTTGCATTTTGCCAGACTGACCCCATTTTCCCCCACTTTATTATCTCTATCACCATATGCTCTCAAATGACTAGAATTTAAATTCTTGCAGCTGGCTCCAACGTGTTCAAACACTACAAACCCATCAGCTCCACATGCACACATCCTGGTAAGGCTCCGATAAGTTTCATGAAAACAAACCAGTCCGAACACAAGAACTATTTACTGCTCTTTTATCATGAAGAATATATAATATTTTACTTACCAGTCAAAATAAATTGCTCACTCAAGGCTAACCTGATTTTAGAAAGAAAAGACAACTGTACAGTGGGAAAGAAACGGCACATTCTCAATAAGCACATGCAGGATATTTGTCCCTCTTCTGCAGAAGCTCCAACCTTAAACACCTGAAATAGATTTTAAGAGTCCTGGAAACCAACTCATTCAGTTAATCTCAAAGAAGAGTGTCTGGTCACCTTTGGATTGCACACTTAAAGCTGTTTCTTGAAATTAAATGGCATATTTTAAGCTTCTACCTTGTTGTCTTTCCACCTATTCCTCTCAATTGCATTCTTCCCAGTGCCAGGACCCACCAAGACAACAAACTGGGCGCCCACGGAGGCTGTCCAAGCCTCTGTCCAAAGTGCTGTTTTCTGCACAATCTCACGTGGAAAGGACGGAGAACGAACAAAAACTGACTAGTTCCCATCACCTTCAAACAATCCAGCAGCCCTCGATAGGTCTGGAGCAGCCGTTTGCCACAGAGGATACATTTCCAAGGGAGAACAAGATGGGACACACGGTTTGCAGAAAAAACTGCACCATAGGTTGAGTACCCACGTGTGAATTTCCAAGGCTCATTTACCTTCTTCCCAAGCTGCCATTGCTCACTCAGAGCCCAGAAGTGTTATGGATCCTTCCCCATAAACCTCACTCCGGCATCCACCGCTCGCCTCCTTCTGTGACTGGGCGGGAAGCTGACGGAGATGATTTGGATGAACCACCTCCGCGAGCACACGTAGCACCTGTTGGGCGCTGCTCACACCGTCCCCGGGGAGGGCCGTCCCCGGACACGAACCCCGCGTGCCGGCAGCAGCCGCACAAAGGGCAGCAGGACAATGGAGCCGGCACAAAGCCGCGTCCCCACGCGGGGATGGCACGCATGGGCTGAAATGCCCATTGTCCCTCCTTGCCAGTGATTGTTCCCCGGCCACAGGAGAAATAGCCCACCTGGGAGACCCCCAGCGACACGGGCGGAGCTCCAGGGTCGGGAAAAGGGCAGGAAGCGGGGGAGCCCCGGGACGAACAAAACCCCGCCACGACAAACCCACGAGTGCTTTTATTCGGGGCTTTTTCCTTTTTCTCTCCCGCCCATGGCGGCAGCGGCCGCGGCGCGCGCCCCATCACCCACCCCAGCGCCGCCCTCACGACCTGCAGGGCGCTGTCGCGACACTATCGCGACCGCCGGTGCTGTGCCGACCTGTCCCCTCAGCCCTTCCCTCTGCTGGCCGCGCTCACCTCGCTCCGCCGCCGCGGGGCCGCGCCCCGACCGCCGCTCAGCAGCCCCGTCCCGCCGCCCGCAGCGCCATGGCCGCGGCCGCCGCAGGTAAGGAGGAGCCGCCAGGAAGGGGCCGCAAGGGCCCGGCGAGGGGGATCCGCGTCCGGCACACGCCCCCCGCTCAGGCACAGGCGGCGGGGCCCATGCGCGCTGCTGCTGCCGCCGGCTCCGCCCCGACGCCGGGAAGGGCGGGCGTGAGGCGGCGGCTGAGGGAGGGAAAAAGAGATGGAGAGAGGGATAGGTGGGTGAAGGGAGGGATGACGGGGCCGAAGGATGGTGCGGTGTCGGGGTGGTCGTGAGGAGGGCACGGAGGAGGGAGTTCAGCATGCCGGCTCGGGCTGGCAGGGCAGCGTGTCCCCTTCTCCCACGCCCTAGCAGGAGGCTGTAGCCTGAGCGTCGGGCTCTACCCCCAAGGAAAAACGAGAGGATGAGAGCACATAGGCTTAACCTGCACCAGAGGAGGTTTAGGTCCGGCATCAGGAAGAATTTCTTCCCAGAAAGGATGATTAGATGTTGGAAGGGGCTGCCCAGGGAGGTGGTGGAGTCCCTGTTCCTGGTGCTGTCCAAGGAATGACTGGAAGCAGCACTCAGCTGGGCTGGGTAACAAGGTAGGGATCGGTCACAGGGTGGACTCCATGGTCTCAGAGGTCTTTTCCAACCCAAATTACTCTGGAATTCTGGGACCAAAGCCACCTCAGCTGGAGTGCTGGTAATGGCAAGGGAAATGTTTTCTCCTCAGTGCGGGAAAGCACTGCCTGGTGTGGCTGGTTTGGGGCCAGGAGAAGAGGGGCCTGGTGTGAGAGCTGAGTGGGACTGTGAAGGTTCTGGGAGTATTTCACAGAATCCCACGATGGCTGAGGCTGGAGGGGATGCAGAGGGTCATCAGGTCCTAGGTCCCCTCTCCAGAAGGGCCATCCCAGAGTACAGGGCACAGAATTGTGTCCAGTGTGTTCTGGAATGTCTCCAGTGAGGGACACTCCGCACCCTCTCTGGCCAGTCTGTTCAGTGCTTGATGACTGCACAGGGCAGAAGTTCTTCCTCATGGTCAGCTGGAACTTCCCGTGCATGAGTTCCTGCCTGTTCCTCTTGTGTGTTGCTGGTACCATGGAGCAGAGTCTGGTCCACCTTCTTAGCACCCCCTCTTTATATATTTATACACATTGATGAGGTATATTTGGAATTCAGGGATGTGTGAGGTGCTGGAGCTGATCCAGAGGCAGGAGAAGGGATGGAGCTGTTGGGGCCTGCAGTGACTCTGTAAGGCTGTAGTGGGGCCAGGGCTGCTCCTGTCACAGGATGGTGGGGTTGGAAGGGACCTCTGGAGATTATCTGGGCCAACCCCCCCCCACCAAGACAGGATCACCTGGAGCAAGTGATACAGGAACATGCACAGGATGGGTTTTGAATGACTGAGTATGCAGAAACTCACCAAAGATGTCCTGAAGTTTATTTGTGTGGTTTTTACTGTGTCTTAAGGCATACACCCCATCTGAAGGGAGGGGTCCCAGCAGGGATGTACCAGGTAGCTGCCTGTGCCACAGCCCTCCCACCTCACTGTGCAAGTGCAAGACCAAGAAAGGTGTTTTATTGCAGTCACATGCAGACATGTTTATCTGTGGACAGGCCATTTGCACACCCTGTTCACAGTGCAAAACTTTCCCCTCTAGTTGAGCTTCGAATTTATTAAACCAGTATGGGACAGTGTTGCTTTATCAGTAAAAGTTAATTTGCACTTTTAAGTGAGATTTAAGTATTAACCACAAACTCCTTCCTCCATGTAAGTGCCTCTGTTAATGCAAGGACTTGCTGTGCTGTAGTAAAGGATCTTTTGGATAGAGCCATTACCTGCGTGTTGTGTTTCGATGGCTGACCCTAAACCGCTTCATAGCGTTCTTTATGTGCTTTACTGATTCATTAGCATGGCCAGGAACACACGACTCGATCTTGCTGTCAGTAGGAGGTGTGGAAACCCCTCCCTGATAATTACGGCATTTGGTGACCGCAGAGCTTACAGGTCTGATTGCTGGTGTTGTTTACTGCTCCAGCAGCGGCACTGCAAGGCAGTTAACCTGGGAGCACTCCTTGCCTTTGGCCAGGGCCCAGGGCCACAGGGCGAGGAACATGGAGCGGGGGTGTGGCATTCTCAGAGAGCTAGTGGGGGGAGGCTGTGCCTGGGCTTAGCCACATTTTCATTGCAAAAGGAAATATGAAACGGCCCGGTTGATACGTTTTCAGAAATGTTCTAAATGAAAGACATAATTGAAACTGTTCTGCAAGCTGGATTTGATGTATTCTGGTTTTCATTCCATCTGTGCAACGCTGTAAAGGAAGTATATAATCTACATTAGGGCTGTGGTGATACCAGCTACCCAGAGTGTTTGGATAAATGATACCACTGTTTGCTAATGTATTGGGTGACCAAGAAAGGCAAGCCTAGGCATGCAGAAATTCCAAATTGTGAGTTTTAATTTAAAGGATTTGAAGAATTTCTAGTTGTTGTGATGAAACTTTTCAGAGCCTATTGTGAATAACTCATGGTAACTGTAAATGTGCAGAGTCTGGAACAATAGCTGTGAGACGTCAGCATATGCTGTGCCAGATGCCTACAAACAAAACTGGAGTTAAGAACATTGGTGGGGCTGGGGCTCCACGGATAAGGAGACAGCAAATGATGAAGATGTTGCACATTAGTCCCTAAAACAGCAAAGAGCATAATTATGTGGGCTAATAAACAAAAAAAGTGGCAGAAAATGTACAAATTACAGTGATGACAAGGCAAAATGATGTGATGTATTATGCTGTCTGCAACTCCAGTCCTGTCAAACCTGACAAGTGAATTAGGATGAGGCAGGATAGTCCCTGCATGGCTCACTGCTGATAAGCCCCAGGGTGCCAGAAGTGATTTGTTGGCTCTGTATTTAGGAGAGCAAAGATTCAGTAAGGTGCAAGGAGGTGATCCCTATCTCTCCATCCCTGATATGGGTGACTTTGAAATTCCTGGAGGAAAGATACCCGGAGCATCCCCAAGAAGCTGTGCCTTTCTCACTGTAATAGATGCCATCATATCTCACTTTTGTGGTTTTGCCTCTTGATGATTTTGACTGGCTGTTGCTGCATGATGTTTGCAAGGCCTGTTTGTTGCTCTTCCCTAGCAGAGCATTTTTCATTATTCCTCCCTAACTGAAAACAAATGGTGGGCTGCATGTGGGAATGCGGCTTGGGAAAACTGGAGATCAAAGAAAGGTCTTGACTCAGTGCTGAGGATGATCTTGCATGAATTTCCCTTTAACTGCCTTCCATCAAGCTGTGCCTTGTGATTTGAATCTCACTGCCTTCAGATCTGTGTCTGAACATTTTGCTTAAAAAGATAAATAAATAAGGGGAGAATGTTTACCTCTCCCCTTCTCAAACTTTCTGTTTCTTGTCTTCGTGTTGCTAATTTTCTGGAAAACTTTAATGGCTCTTGGGGATGCCAGGAAATGCTTCACCAGCACAGAACCCTGATATCCAGCTCTGCCAAACAGGAAAGGACTGTGCTGAACTGCTTCAGCCCTTGCCAGTTATAGGTTGCTGCTGTGTGTCCACAGGGCCTGTCTGCCCTTTCCATGGATCTGAAAGTCACTTGGTCCTCATCACCTCATCTGCAAGTTAGCCAGGGCATCCAGGAAAAAAACTTCCCCAGGAGATGAGAGGAAGGGATATGGTCAGCTGGCAGTTCCTCCAGGTCTGATTTCTTGGTTTCAGCTTTTAAAAACCAGTCCATATCTATTTGTTGGCAAGGGTACCAATTTTTATTTTTTATCATGAGTGAGGATTTTTGATCCAAATGGTTTTCTTTTTTGTGCTATAGTATTTTTTGTTTGTTTTTTTGTTGGTGTTTTTTTGTTTGTTTGGTTTTTTTTTGTTTTGGGTTGTTTTGTTTTGTTTTTTGGGGTTTTTTTGGGTTTGATTTTTTTTTTTTTCCCACTGAGTAAGAAGATGAGGGAAACTGAAAGGGATTTTGCCTACCTTGGAATTGTTGGGTTTTTGCAAGTGGCTTTTTTGCCTGGGAATGTCAATGGCAAGATGCCTTAGCTGAGAGAAGCCCTAGAGAGCAGCTCTGTGCTAGCTGGTACAGAATTTGGTTCTGTTTTCCATCAGCTGGCCTGGCTGTGCTTTGAGATGTTGATGTGAGATAACTGTAACTTTCCCTCCTTCACTTCATGTTTTTCTTCTTTTAATTTTTTTTTTTTTAGTGAAATGATAAATATTTAAGAAATCAGTTGCATGTGGAGACTTCTTCTGAGCTTTGTATGTTTGTTCTGAGAAGATGCTGATGCCAAACAGTACTGGACTCTGTTTACAAAATAAACTGGGACCACAAGGAGGACATGTGAAAGATGTGTTTCTATTCCTGAAAGCTGCTTTGCATTTCTGTAGCACCTTTCCTCCCAGTGTTTCAGGGCAGAGCATGAGCATTAGTCATGGCTCATGCCAGAATTGGGAGATGAGTGAGGCAATTCCTGTCACCCTTCAGAGGATGAGTCTTGGGGATATGAATAACCCAGGGAGAAAGGCAAGTCCTTTCTGGAGCAGGGTTGTGGCAGCTTGTGCTAGGGCTGGTGAATTTGGGCTGGGGCTCCAAGATAATCTCTGCAGAGACATGGGTTGGGGCTCCAAGATAATCTCTGCAGAGACATGAGCTGGCTTATCAGAATCCTTACAGTGGTTTTGCCATCAAGAAAAAAGCATGAGCATAAAAATATGACTATTTTCATTAACTTCCGTTTTGAGCTGATCTTCATTCCTGCTGGAAAAGCAAGTAATTCAGTTAGGATTGGGATATCAAGTGTGAAACCTTGCCTCTCTTGAAGCCACAAGGCACATTGCTGTTGTCAGTTGAAGTCAGATTCTTTCCCAAAAGTTGATATTAATGATAAGACCAAGAGATTTCATCCAAGTAACTTCAGTAGCAAATTTGGCATGTTTGAGAGGACTCTGCGGGATGAGAGATAAAGGCTCTACTCGTTTAC